TTGTGTTGAAAATAAATTGCCTGTGATCAGTGTTTATAAGGTAAAAGAATAATAAAAAAAAATAAGTTAAATTCTCCTGTAGTTGACTGCTATAATACGATGTCGATTTCACTTTCGAAACACGCTATTCGTTCAGGGTTCAAAGCTGTTTCATGGATGCGTTAAAGGAAACCTGTTATGCGATCCCAAGCGTTTCGTTGCGAATTTTTATTTATTTATTCTTCTCTATACATTCACGGCTTGTTACGATCTAATTGTTTGCATTTTTAACTCACTAAGAGGTTGAAATGTTTATTAAATATGTACTTATACGATGATATCTTTGATCAGAGGTGCGCACGACACGGTAAGCACAGGACGAATTCTAAACGTACACCTGATTGACATATTAATTACTCGTTTGTGTCATAATCACGTGCTGTACATGTATAATTAAGTAACCCAGGTTCACCATCAAACCTATTTAGTAGTGTGTCCTTTTAAATATGAATATTTAAATTTTGAATGTTTAATATATTTTGAATTAACAAAATTTGTAATTTATTACATAATCAATGCTATTTACGGGTAACCGACCTACCGGTATGTACTGGTACTAATTTAGCTTTCGTTGCAACTTTTTAGCTCTATGTATGTTTTTCAATTCTATTTTCAATGAATTTTATTTATGTTGTTTTGTTACAATTTCCTTATATTACGGGAAATATTATATTTAGCCTTTTACAGTCCCAAATGTAACATGATTAACCTTGATTTTTGATAATATTATTCAACAAATCCAACTAATTCATTTCCATATGAGTGATATTTCATGGTAATTTTCTGTTTAAATAACTGATCTGAATGAATCTCTAATAATTGACGTTATGTTTCGCAGTCTGTGACCTTATGATAATTTTAATTATTAGTGCTTCAATTATATTCTAACATCTCTCTTCCAGAATTCGTAAAAAATATCTTCTAATAAGTACTAATATTTGCAGATTTGCAAAAAGACACCAGGTTTTTAGGTAGTTAGCCTAATATAAGCCTAATACGTCCCACTCCTGGGCACATGCCCCCTCTCATTTCTGAGAGGGTTTTAGGGCTAGGAAAAGCCCACAGCGCTGCCCCAATGCGTGTTGGTGGACTTGTCATGTCTAGGATTTTTTTTTATTTTTAAGACGTACAGGTTTCTCACGATGTTTTCCTTTAGCGCTGAGCACGTGGTAAATTAGCATCTAAAATTGTAATTAACAATTCCATTGGTGCCGGCGGAGCTCCAATGAACCCAGGTTGCTCGCGTGCTGTGATATTTACAGCAAGAGCCCTGAGCTACTACAGCTTAACGATTAACTTTTTATAGAATAAGCGTGACCAACGAGCAGAAAATCCACCTGATGGTAAGTGGATGCTGTGGCCCAGAGACATCTACATTTAAGAATCAAAATGCAGGTGCGTTGTCACCCCTGAGGACTAAGATGGAATGGCTCGTTTCCAGAAAAATAGAGTCTCCGTTTCTCTACACTCACCATACGAAACAGCAGTAAAGTAAAATAGTAAAGTTACTATATACGTCCCACTGCTGAGCACAGGCCTCCCTCATCATTTATGAGAGGGTTTTAGGGCGGGGTAGTGTTCGCCGCGCTGCCGGGAAGTGTTCGCCGCGCTGCCCCAATGCGTGTTGGCGAACTTCACATGTCTTAGAAATATTTTTTATCTTATTCCTCAGACATGCAGGTTTCCTCACGATGTTTTCCTTCACCGCCGAGCACGTGGTAAATCAGCGCTTAAAATTGCAATTAACAATTTCATTGGTGCCGACGGGGATCGAACCCGGGTTACTCGCGTTCTGTTATATTACAGCGATTGTTAACCATCTGAGCTACTACGGCTCTCGCTCACGGCTCACGACACGGAAACAGCAGTGTTGAGCTGCAGTTTTACGCTGGTATTCTATTAGAGAGAGAGAGAGAGAGAGAACTATACTACTAATACAACTGCAGCATGGCTCTTCCTGGTTTGTAAAGAAGCCAATTAACAAAAATTCTATTTGCGAAATATGTATTCAAAGAACACTAGCTGAGGCTCTTAAGGGATAGACGTCTAAAGCGACGGATTTTTTTTTATGAAACGTTTTCTCGTTCATAAGCTTCTAGTCAAGTACATAATATAGGAATTAGGAACCTATTACCGAAATTTTGTAAGCGAAGGTTCTTCTTAAAATTGATTACTCGGTGACGCAGTAGTGTAGTGTTGGTGTAAGACGACGACAGAGGGAATATGAAAAAGGAGATGGGCAGCAACATCTTACTGATAACAAGTCAAAAAAAACTGCGGTTGCCAATGCTGCTTGCTAAGCGTGGCAACTATGGAAGATTCCCCCATGAGGCAAATTATGAGGGAGGCCTGTGTTCAGCACTAGACTTTATAGGCTGTAAGGTATTAGTGTAAAACTCTGGATAAAAATGAAAAAAAAAACTATTAGTATTTTATTAAAAACAAACTGAAGAGTGTGGTTTGCAAGATGATGTTGTGACCAGGATTAAGAAAGGAATGCTTCGGTGCTTTGGTCATGTGGAAAGAATGAATGAGGAAAGAGTGACAAAGAAAATTTATGGTGCAGAAGTGAATGGCAGAGTCGGAAAGGGACGTCCTAGGTGAAAATTTATCGATCAAATTGGCGATTTATTGAAAACGGGCCAAATTAGGAGTACCCTTAACCGACGAGCATGTATGCGTAGGTGTATGGATGTGAAGGAGGCAAGAGAGGTGTGTCAGGATCGTGCCAAATGGAAGTCTGTAGTCTCTGCCTACCCCTCTGGTTGACAGGCGTGAGTATTTATAGATTATATAGATAAAAACAAACTTTTTTGTTACGTTCGTAAAGGAACCGATCACCGAAGATTTTTTTTACATCTTCATTTAAAGTTAATTATATGACATAACTGAATAATTTGATGTGACTTGTTAATAAGTGCTTAAATGTAGCGATCTGTAAAAATTATGTTAATATTTTTATGTAACGAGTCCCGCACAGTAATTTTGTAATAACGTATTCAATTCAATTAAATCTAAATCACTCGCTGCATCCGCGTCTGTGATGAATTTGATGAAGCTTTTGTTAGATGTTACCAGAGATGTGACTTATTTTAGATACAAGTATTTGAAATACAGATAAAAGATACAAAATACGTATTTTCATCTATTATCTGAAATACTTTATTATTATTTTGTATCTTGTATTTAGATACATTCTTTTGGTATCACGCTTGTGCTCACACTAGTGCACTGTCCTGCTGGTGTCCCTGTTAGAACTGGTAAGAAGACAAGAATTCGGTCTGGAGGACATTATTATTACCATTCTGATAACATTTTAGTACTATAAACTAGATATTGTTTTTTCTATATTTCACTTATATTAGATTCCTTTTATTTGCTGTTACTACTTCCCTATTGTTGGTCTGTGGCTATGTGTAATAAAATCAATTATTCAACCAAGCGGTTTTACTAAAAGAGATATTAACGAAAATGAATCTTTGAAATATTTTTATGGATGTACTTTTGAATTTTTTAATAACGGTGTATTTTTGGACTTTCCGGAAAAAAAGACCCTAATCACGATAAATAAATTAAAACTTTAATATATTTATCGTGATGGTCGTATATTTCCCACATTATATAATTGTCCCTCCATAAGTTTTACTGACCAGTTTTTTTTATAATGTTACTTTAATATTATCGTAACGATTATCTTATTCGTTTTTGTATATCTCGCACAATAAATTTGGTTTAATAAAATAATGTTTTGTTTTAAAAAACCGGAGTGGCGATAAACTTGATCAAAATAAAAGGAGTCACAGAGCGATAGGGTTATCTTAAAACGTTTGGGTCAACTATAATTATTATGTTCTGGCTTGATCATGAGCAATTGCGTGATAAACTTACCAATTTTTTTTCACAGCTGTAAATAGTATCAATATATTATTGTATTAATATATAGCCGTATTGTATTCATATACATACTGTATGTATATCAATACAATACGGCTTACATACATAGATACCTAGTTAATTTACTTCGTTTTCATCATATCTCCTATCCGAGTTTCTGAACTATAACAATATTTTAATATGTATTAAAATTTGTAATATCGATTATTCAAACAATTTCTCATGTAGAATATAATCTTAATCTCTCTCTCTCTCTCTTTCTCTCTCTCTCTCACTATAAAATATATATATATATATATATATATATATATATATATATATATATATATATATATATATATATATATATATAAAGCAATTGATGTCCGTCAGTCGCACTAAAACTCAAAAGTGGCTCGACCGATTGTGATGGAATTTCGTGTATGTTTGTATGGTTCCTAGATGGTTTAGATTCACAAACAGACACGGTAGGTAATACGGTAGGCTGTTGTCGAGATCGGGAAAGCACCCGTGCGAAGCCGGTTCGGACCGTTAGAATTCTATTTAAAAAAAAGGTGTAATTTGCCTATTATCGTTTATTAACAAGAGTTTTTTAACAATTAGGTTGTATTAATTATTGTTTCAACTTCGTTATCGTACGCTGCATTGTGCCTGTTATCTGTCGTGCCAGTGCCTCTCATTAGCATGTGTGAGGGACAAGGAGTCAAACGATTGCGTCTTTGTTGATACCAGTATCGATAAATTACACGAGTACAGCTTTGACTACGGGCGAGTCGAGACGTCTCTATTTTTTATATTTATCCGATCGAAATTGAAATAGAACATCTAAATCGACAGTTCTTAATTTAATATTACGTTTTGTGGAGATACCATTCCAATTTTAAAAGTGCACACAAACTGAATGGTGAAACTATTTTTTCAAACTTTATGAAACGATGAATACTTAAAAATTTAAAAATTGAGTACTTGAAAAACTCTTCAAAATTGAGCGACTAAGTTTGATCCACAATTGGACGGTTGGTGATGTAGTGACCACCGTCAGTAAGAATTGGTCAGAAATGGATACAATGATCAGCATGTGGGCAGTGGTGGAGCATGTGAGGGTGGCAAGCGGTGCCGCGGAGCTGGCCATCTTCACCGCGATCCTCTACTGGTTCTTTACGTCCAGGTTTGTTTGTTTCTATTCTATAAAATAAATTTTATTTTTGCTTAAGTTTTGTTCTCAGTTAATTTCTTATAATCACGTTAATTTATATATTTATTACAATTAAAATTATTGACGACCCAGTAGCGTAATAGCTGTTCTTTTTCATTATTTCACGCTGTTAAATAATTTCAGTACTATTTGTTGTTTTATTGGTGAACTCAATTGGATATTATTGAGAATATAATTATTATTGTAATTGTCACATTGAATTTTGTATGTTTTGGCGCGTATATTTCCGAATGTCATAATTTACTTACAACTTGTATTCTGATTGCTAGTGAAGATAACGTCCAATTACAAAACATGAGCGGTAATATGTGATCGGATCGGACAACTCATGGGAAAAGTGCTCGCCATAAATTTCACAGTACTATTGTTCGATATACGTGCTCAGCGGTGAAGAAAAACATCTTAGAAACTATTGTTACAAAAAATAGTACAAGTACAAAAAAATACTTTATTTCTCACGCTAAAAAGTCTGTTGTTTGAAAAAAATTTTTTTTCGAGGACATGTAAAATCCGCCAGCACGCACTGAAGCAGAGCTGAATAATTGCTCTCTTTATTAAAAATGGCGGCAAAACCTTTCAATTACGACGGAGGACGAGACGGAGATTGAACCCACTTTGCTGTGTAGTATGAAATTTACAGCGAGGAACATTTTATTTTATTTTTCATTCATTCGGCCATTGAATAGGACAAAACATTTCATATCACAATATAGTTGAAAATGTGAATTGCTCATGTTACTTTTAATGACAATAAAGTAGAAAAATATTCCTAGGTACACATGAGAACACATTTTTTGACATCATCATCATCATTACAGCCCTTCACAAGTCCACTGCTGAACATAGGCCTCCCCCAAGGAATGCCACAAAGCACGGTCCTGAGCCACCTACATCCATCGACTTCCTGCATGTCTTACCAGGTCTTCACTCCATCTAGTGGGGCGTCGCCCTACACTTCGCCTACCGGTACCAGGCTGCCACTCAAGAACTTTTTGTCCCCAACGGTTGTCGATTCTTTGAGCTATATGGCCGGCCCATTGCCACTTCAGCTTACTAATCCGTTGGGCTATGTTGATCACTCTGGTTCTACTGAGGATATCCTCATTTCTAAGTTTATCACGCAGAGAAACCCCGAGCATAGCCCTCTCTATAGCTCGCTGAGCGAGCTCATACGGCCAGCAATGAAGGACCACGTCTCAGTTCCATAAGTCATCACTGGCAACACGCACTGGTTGTACAGTCTCGTTTTTAGGTTTGAAAGTGAAGCTGACGAGAAGATGTGTCGTAATTTCCCGAACGTTGCCCAGCCGAGTTGAATCCGTCGATTGACCTCTCGGCCGAAGTTGGACTTACCTAGTCGAATTATTTGTCCCAGGTAAACGTACTCGTCAACAACTTCGAGCATAGTGCTCCCAACAACTACCGGCATAGGTGTGAGATGGACGTTAAGACCTATCCATTGGGGCAAGTCCCCCGGCGAGGATGGAATTACAGCGGTACTTCTGAAAGTGGGTGGAAAACCGGTACTTGAAGTCGTTCAGAAGCTCTTTAATTCCTTCCTCCATGGTGGCACTACTCCCGAGGCGTGGAGCAGAAGTGAGGTGGTGTTGTTCTTCAAGAAAGGCGACAACGCTCTCTTGAAGAACTACAGACCGATTTCCCTTCTGAGCCGCGTCTACGTGCTGTTTTCTAGAGTCATTACGAATCGTCTCGCACGCAGACTCGACGACTTCCAGCCTCCCGAACAAGCTGGTTTCAGAAAAGGTAAGTTGACTGTCGGTATATCGAATTGCTAAAGTGTTGGTACAGTAGGGCTACGATGGCTATCCGAGTACAGAACCAGAGTAAGAAACATGCTACCAACTGCAAGGAGGTGTAAGACAGGGTGACGTTATATCCCCGAAACTCTTCACCGCTGCTCCGGAAGACGTTTTCAAGCTACTGGACTGGAGAGGATACGGTATCAACATCAATGGCGAGTACATCACTCACCTTCGATTTATCGAAGATATAGTCCTTATGGCAGATTCGCTGGAGGACCTGAGCACTATGCTCAATGACCTCAATGGTGTCTTTTTCTGACATTTAACATTATTTTGCGAAAATAAAAAGTTTCTCTCGAAAATTAAATAACTTGCTTTTTTATGTGAGTTACAAAATACATGTATTTTAGAAAAACATGTATTTTAATCACTGAAAAATCAGAATTAAATTATAAAAAATTATATGAGGTAGGCAGTCCTACATTCAGTTATGTAAAATTAAAAGAAAAAAAACAAAGGAAAAACGATTTTGTTTTTGTACAAAAATTATCGTTCGATGCAAATTCTACTTTTTAATGTTACCAGTAGTTAATCGTTCGTTTAATGACACCAGTGACTTGCTCGTAAATGCGATAAGCCAGTGTCTTAAATGCTATTTTATGTCATATAGTTTTCATTACATATTTCATAATTTTCACGTTGTGGTCACCAAAATTAAAAATAAGTACAGGGCAACCAAACATTAAACTTACTATTCTTTTAACTTACCCTTACTATGGAATGTTATCAAAGTGATTATTCTAAAAATGAAATCTAGAAATAGATAATTATATTAATTAAAGAACCTACTTACTAATCTATTCTATCTAATTACTAATTAGTAGGTTCTTTACCCCTAAGGCCCAGGCATCATCATCCGCCTTCGATAAAGAATCAAAATGGAATTGTGTAGTCAGTTTTCTACGCTAATGATACAAAACACTCAGCATTAAGCTGCTATTTAATGCTGGTATTCGGTAAGAGCGTGGTCCTTCCTCAGTCGAGCCGACCCATTCCTTTTACAACTATAATATAACTGCAGCATGATGCTACCACGTAATATGGTATTAAACCCATTTCAAATAGTGTTTTAAATGTATCCTGGAGTGATAACGTACCGCTATAATTTTATATAATTTTTCAAAACCGAATAGTGCCATAAAAATTACTTTTAATTTATCGTTTTAAATTATCGCCCAAAAACGCTAGCCGCCATTCTGTATAGCTAGTGACGTCACTATCCTAGGATTATCGATTTTGCAAAGCAATAAGATATTTTTGGATGTTTAATAATAAGTTACCGCCTTTATCACTGTTGTGTTGTGCCTGAATGTGCAAAAATACGAGCATAAGAACGCCGGGTAAGGGATTATGGATTCAAGTGCGACTGTTTTAAATATGAGAAATACTTTGTTAAAACCGCCAAGAAGATACCCGAATACATTGTCTACAAAATCTAGACCAGGAGTTCCCAACCAGGGGGGCACGCCTCCCAAGGGGGGCATAGAGAGATGTCAAGGGGGGCGCAAAGCGTTTGCATTTCCTTTTTTTATTATCACTAAGGTGGTAAACATGCAAAGAAAAACAAAAAACAAACATACAACATAATACAATTAAAAATAATACCAATTCACTTATTTATTCTATCAACCAGTTGACCCCGACGAAAACCCGACGTCGTGGATCGCAGTTTATATAAGTTTCGACAAGTCACAATATGAAACCCGCGCGCACCCCCGCCGCGGCACCCGCTCCGCTTAACATTCATCCATCAGAAAACAATTGAGTACCTACCGGAGGCGTATAAGCATCTGTGAAATTCATTCACGCACTTGCGACAAATTTGACGTTTCGGTGTACATTTCTTGTTGAAAAATCAGTTTGAGTGTGCAAAATTATTGTGTCTCACCGTTAAAAGGTAAGTTTGTGTATTTACAAACTTCAGTCACCATTTTTATTTAATTTATTAAATTGGTGATAGAACGGAGACGCGTTCATAGATCAGCCATTGTGACTGATTATTTGTTTTATTGTTATAGGTGCAAAATGGCAGCGAAAAAAAGAAAGTTTTCCGAAGATTACATTAAGTTTGGATTTACTTTCATAGAAAAAGACGAGTTACAATTGCCTCAGTGTGTGATATGTATGAAAGTTTTAAGTAATGGTAGCATGAGGCCCAATCGCCTTAAAAGGCATTTAAAGCAACAACATCCTACTCTGCTTTTGAAGATGAAAGAGTTTTTTTCTTCTAAAGCAGAATCACTCAAGCGGATGAGATTGGATAAATCGGAAAGTTATCACACAGGTGTATCGCAGCAGCTCAAAGCTTCATTTGAAATAGCTTTTATGATAGCAAAGCAAAAGAAATCTCATACTATCGGTGAAGAATTAATAAAACCATGTGTCCTAAAAGCCACGCAGATAATTTTAGGAGAAGATGCAGAGCAAAAATGAAGTCTATTTCTCTTTCCAATAATACAGTCAAGCGTAGAATCGATGACATTGCAGCCGACATTAAGTCACAAATAATTAACAAAGTAAAATTATCGTCATTAATTGCGAATTCACCGACATCGTTAATTGTGCGCAGTTAATAGTTTATGTTCGTTACATCGGCAGAGATATCATTGAAGAAGAGATTTTGTACTATCAATCTTTGACAGCGGGTACTACATCTGAAGATATATTTAATTCAATATCAAATTTTGTTGAAAAAAATGATTTGGATTGGAATAAGCTCATTGGACTTTGCACAGATGGCGCACCTGCAATGATAGGTGTACGATCGGGCTTAGCTATAAAGCTCAAGGAAAAAAACCCGCAATGTTTAGTATACATTGTATTCAAGGCAACTTTGCCCAAACTCAAAGACTCAAACTACACAAAACGATGGCTTAGCAAAGCTAAAAAAAATCCCGCAATGTTTAGTATACATTGTTTTATTCATAGGCAAGCTTTGGCGTCCAAAACATTGCCACAGAAATTACGCCAGACTTTGGACTCGGCTATAAGGATTATAAACTACATCAAGAGCAGCGCTTTGAACAGTCGGTTATTTACTTTGCGAGGATCTTGATTCTGATCACAAAGTTCTTCTGTTCCATACAGAAGTACGCTGGCTGTCCAAAGGCAACATGTTGGCTCGCCTTT